GATGCATTTTACAATCATATGGAACATAATTGTCCTAAACAGAGTAATACGATACCTTAATAATGTAAACATTTGTGTTTGCACGTATAAGGATCCAATTTACTTTCCTAATGTACCTAGTTACCTTAATATTGTACTAGATGTCTTTATCCTTGTAAATTACGATATTACAAGATTACGGATGGGTTTTACAATTCTATGGAACACAGCTGTCCAAAACAGAGTAATATGAGACCTTAATATTGTAAACATCCGTGTTTACAAGTATAGGGACCTAATTTAACTTCCGAATGTTCCACTTTACCTTAATATTGTACTACATGTCCTTTTTTTGTAAATTACGATATGACACGATTAAGAATTGATTTTATAATATAATGGAACACAAATGTCCAACAGTGTAATACAAGTCCTTCCTATTGTAATATCTTAAATGGGAAGTGAAATCCTGTGGAAAACGAAGCCAAACGTTAAGAAAATAGGCATGCATGCACGTTTGCAATTTCAAACAAACAGTTTGTCAATTGCATTATACTTGTTCAATTTTGAACTCACTGTTTGCCAATTGCATTATGTTTATTCAATTTCCAATGCATTTTTTGTCAATTGAGTTATTTTCTTTTCCTCCTAGGCGACCCAATCTATCAGTGCCCTTTCCATTTTATGGTCACTTCCTTTCAAATTAACTCATTCAATCCATTCACATACAACAATACACGATCATATTTGACATCATTATATAATACGTTTATAGCATCAAACAAGTTACATAAGCTTTGGGGTTACAAAACTATTTCGAAAGGGAATTGAAATCCTGTGGAAAACCAAGCCAAAAGGGTTGAAAAAAGGCATGCGTGCACGTTTGAAATTTCAAACTTACGGTTTGTCAATTGCATTCTTTTTGTTCAATTACAAACTAACTGTTTGTCAATTGTATTATTTTTGTTCAATTTCCAACTCACTGTTTGTCAATTACATTATGCTTGTTCAGCAAATCAAAAACCCATTTATTTCTGCTTAGTTTCTTCCTGTGCTGCATTAATTTCTGCTTAGTTTTTCTGGTTTTCTTTTCATAACATAATTACTTGATTTCATAGAGGGA